CATGGAAGATAAGACATGGGAATGTAAGAATACAAAAGAAGTCTTAAAAAAATAACTACTCATCAAGGACAATTAAATAGAGAATGAAAACACAAAATTCCAAAAACAGCAAACGAAGATATATTGCAACAATTGATATAGTATTTAGTGGGGTATACAATGATAGAAAGCTATGCTTTTCTGGAAAGCAAATTACTGATTTGCATTTTAAACATACTGTGAAATGTTTCAGTTATTTTGTCTTGTATAGCACTGAAAGCTATACTGTGAATATACTATCTATCTATCTATCTATCTATCTATCTATCTATCTATTCACTGTGATAGCTTAGTCCATCTGACTAGTTTCAACACCTTCAGATAACTAGATCAGTATCAAAAGATTTGCCAAAAGAATGGAGAATACTGAGACACTTAATTAAATTTGAAAATCTTATACCGTAGTACATAACCCAGAGCATCTTATTATTGGGTCTTATTAAAATTGCAGTGAAATGTGAGTCAAAATTGAACAAGTCAGTGGTCAAACTTTTAATCTGGAATTCACTCTTAGTGAACAGAATTTATTGTACTATAGTTCATAATTTCATTTTAATAATGTTTAATAACAAACACATATGTGCACATACAAATGAATAGTATTAATGATATAAGGATATACCATAAATGCAATAAATCAATAAGTACAACGAAAAGAACAGGAGAATTCAAAACAATAGGACAAAAATGACTGCATAAAAAAATTCCCCCAAAACCTGCAGAAAGGAACCATTTTTGGAAACACATGTCACTCCACAAGAAAATATACATAGGAGAAACAGGGTAGGCACTGAAGAACAGATAGGAAGAACATCGGACACCACCAAAATACCAAATGATCAAAACATGTGGAATTGAGTTGCTGAGCATTGGATAAGGCACTGTAACAGACTACTCTAGGAAAATATGAAAATCATAGTATTTGAAGCCAAGAGATATAAGAGGAAGAACTGAAATGGAATAGTCAGCACAAAAATATTTGGGGAACAAAAGCATTGAACTTAGGAGAGAATGAAACACTGGATTCTTTAGACCATGTGACGAAGCTGAAATCATGATCTGCCTATATTTAATTGAATTTATTTGTGTTGTTTGATGACAATTGGTTTATTGTCAAAATGATGTATTTTATACATTTACAATTGTGTTGTACATTAAAATAATTTTATGTAACTGAAAATGGCCAATAATCAAAGAAGATTAACCAATAATCACATTCTGTTCATTACTATAATTCTTATTCTGTTTCAGACAGCTCACATCTTATCCCTGCATTTATTTTTTATTGATTCTGTTGAAGATTAGTCTATTTTTAATATATTTTCATACAGAAGTTGTATTTTGTCTTTGTGCAGTCATTATACTTTTATTCTAGTATTTTCACTTGTTTCCTTTTGTTCTGTATTTCTTTTTTCCATCTATTCTTGATTTTACCCCCAAAATGTTCTATCTCACATTCAGAATCTCTAATTAACCATGTACTCCCACTATTCCTCTCTATATTTCAGTACAATCAAATCAATAAAGCTTTTAGATTTATAATATGTTTATGTGCTATAGATTTACATGTAAATATGTGTTCAAAAGGGACCTTTTTTCTAAGCAGATATACACATAGTCACCATTTTGATTCATTTTTGTGACTTAAGAGTAGTCCAATCATACTTTCTTTGTACTCATTTCAGTTTCATCTGTCTATTTATGTCACATAAGCAGCATAATTGCCACCCATTCATCCCCAGATCTCACTCTAAAAGTTGTGGAAATTTCTCCAAAACTCATCTGTTTTTTTCTATTGTAACCATTCATTGGAATGTGACTTGCAACTATCATCAACCTGTATATTTCTACTTTCTTATGCAATCTTGATGAAATCAATTCTGACATATATTTCTCCTTTTCATTTATAATTAAATTTATAGCTTTATTTCCCTGTAGTTATTTATCAACTCAAATCTATAAGGCCAGACCACTTCATGCAGAAAATGTGTGTATGTTGTATATATCACGTTATTCACCAGTTCAGCCTGCACTTAATGACCTCTGCCACTTGTCATGGCTGGAAGAGTTTGGGGGAGGCTGAGAAGGAAGAAAAAGTAGGCATAAACAATCAAATAGTTGACAGATTGATAGTTTATCTAATAGATGTAAATGTAACCTCATGTAAAAATAATTTGGGAAGAACTGTTTCAAATCATTCAAAGAGAATTTGATTTAATTAACTCACTGCAAATAAAAGTGGGAATTTTTGCCTAGTTTCCAAGATTTTGTACTTACTCCAGAACACTATTAAATATACTTTTCTGAAATCTGAGTAGTTCTAGCTCCCTTGATCTTGTGTGGGACTTAATAATAGCTATGGTCAACTGAAGATTTTATATTACAATATAAAAGGTGTAAACTCTACAGTAGCATTCCATACCATTAGTATGGATAGAAACAGTCAGTGTGACATATTTTGGATGCTACAGGCACATCCAATATTAAGTTAATATAAGATCTCTACTATAGAGCAGGGTTTTTCAACCAGTGGTACGGGTACCACCTGTGGTACATTGGCACCTGGCAGATGGTACGCGACCATCCTAGAAAAGTGGTAGCGGGGGAGGGGAATGAGCTGTACCGGTGGCAGCACTGCACAAGTCTGAACGAGAGATGGCTGGAGCTGCAGGGCTGTCAGGGCTCAGCGGAAGCACTAGGATCAGTGCCAGATTCCAGCTGGAGCTCAGTGCTGATCCTGATGCTTCTGAGCCCAGAAGAAGCGCTGATGAGCTGGAATGTTGCAGCCTCTCCAGGGCCTTGTGATTTACATTCAGTTGCTTGGCAATTGATTCATATTTATGACGGTCACAGTGTCCCAGGGTCATGTGAAGTGACCAAAACCTGCTCCCCCCAGATGGGGGGAATAAAAACCAAACAACCCCCCCACCCCACCCTCACTGCCAATCCTCAACAGAAATGTTCACAGCAATGAAACAGGAGGAAGAGCACTGTCGGGTAGGCAGGCAGGTCTCTAGGGGGCACTTTTTTCAATGCCATTGTAACTTCGAACAGTCGCTAAGCGAACTGTTGTAAGTCGAGGACTACCTATATTTTATCACTTTTTTCATTTTTTCTTTTTTTTTTTTTTGGTCAACAAGTTTTTGACACCTTGCTAGACGACTGGTGGTACTCGGATGTTGCCATATCCTAAAAGTGGTACAATTGGTGGAAAAGTTGAAAAGCCCTGTTATAGAAAATACCTTGCAAGCTAACATACTATTGCCTCCTGCATCCTGCAAATTAAAATTATATGCAATGTACTGACAACTTACTCAGGATATCTGTTTATTTGTGATGTAAAATGTAGTGTAGTCTTTATCCTGAAATGTCAGAAGGATAGATATAATCTTCACAACAAAATTACTCTACCTGAATAAAAATAATTTGTCACCTTCATACCAAAACAGGAAAGTGATTGCTAAAATTCCTGCAAGACTTTCAAAATCTTCCACACCAGCTTTCCCTCATTATATTAAGTATTGCCCTTGGTCATGACAAACATAGAAATAATAATAAAAATCCTAAATATCAAGCTTCTGACAAAAGGGTATGAGTGTTGATTAATATTTCATTGCATATTGCTTATCTTGTTTGATTAAGAACAAATAACAGTGTTTGCCATTGCTTCTCTAAAGAGTTTCCTGCTCTTTTTTTAATAACCTGATGTTTCTAAAAACTTTTTTTCATGGTATTTAATTGTGGAACAGTAACCTGGTCATGCAAGGGAATGAATGGAAGTTATGGTAGAAGGTCAACGCTACTCTGACTCATTTGTGAGGTGAGAGCTTGTGTCCTATCATAATGCTGTCCAGCTGATGGGGCGTGGGCATAATTTGTTAGAAAAAACAATGATCTTTCCTGCTTCAGAGTATATTTACACTTTAGATATCCAGAGATAGAGTGTATATTAAAAAAGAGCACCTTCTGCCAAAATTCTGTCCTACAAAAGTAAACAGTTTGATACCCTTCCCTATTGCTAGATGTTGAAATATCAAAACCGTATACTTTGGTTATGTTTCTCTGTAAATGCAGCAAATGGCAGAAATAGTCAGCTTAGAAATGCTTTGCTGGGGAGCAAATGTTTTTTCAATTACCAAATTTTTTTTCATCTTTCAATAAAGCTACAGTGTGAATGAGTTGGCTCTGCAACATAGCTATTGTTTTAATAAAATACACTACAATGTAAATATTTTTAATAAAATTAAAAAATCAATTATTAATGCAACACCATCATTTAATTATAGGTTAAGGCATCCAAGTTTGTTTTTTGCTGTATATTTTGTGGGACTTGCTCTTTTGTAGTTTTATCCCACAGACTTTTAACATGTAAAGTCTAGATATCCCACATTTTTATGTATTTTTATCTCTCTCTTTTTTAAAATAACTGAAGACAACAAACGTAGCTAATACACTTTCTTCCTATTTTCCCCACTGCAACCACCTGGTGAGCTGGGTAGGGCTGAGAAAGAGAGACTGGCTCAAATTCCCCAAGCCGGCTTTAATGCCTAAGGAAGGACTAGAACAGTGGTGGCGAACCTATGGCACGGGTGCCAGAGGTGGCACCCGGAGCCCTCTCTGTGGGCACATGTGCCGTTGCCCCAGCCTCGCCTCCCCCTGCGACCCCTCCTCTCCAGCAGCCCCTCTGAAGGAGAGTCACCCCTGAGCGTGGCCCACATGGAGCAGCGCAGCCAAGGACATGGCAGCCAGGCAGCGTAGACAAGACTCTGCCTTCACACCCCATTGTGCACAGTTGATGCTACAGGGCGCGGGCAGAGGGCGTGACCACCATAGCACTGCTGGGCTGCCTAGGCGATCTGCGGCGGGCCCTGAAAGCAGTGAGTGGCCCTGCGGGCAGGTGGGATGGGGGATGGGGGGTAGAGCAGGGGCAGGGCAGAGCAGAGAGTGGAGCAGGGTTGGGGCCAGTTTTTGAGCACTCAGTCTCTAAAAGGTTCGCCATCACTGGACTAGAACTTAACAATTCCCAGTTTTCTAGTTTGGTACCAGTAGACCAAAGTGGCTCACATGGTTTCTGCTCTTCTGATCGTTCAGGCAACAGTGAAATGATATGGTGAAATGAGCCTATGAAGAGTGAGTTTGTCCATTTCTGTCACCCACCAGTAAGGACCCAGTTATATTTTAGAAGGCCAGATTTTAAAATTCAATCTAGTGAGATTGCTGGAGAAAGGCTTTTGGTTTTCTCATAATTTGACCTCTTTAGTTCAGGGCTTCCCAACTGAGGTGCTTGTACCCCCTGGGGGTGTGAAATGATATTCCAGGATGTGCGAAAACTTGGGTTTTCAAAATTATAGAGTATATGCATAATTCATTGCCATTATTTTGAACTTTTGTAAGGGGTGCGAGAATATATCAGAAACATTCTAGGGGTGCAGAATATAGAAAAGGTTGGGAACCACTGCTTTAGTTGAATAGACCTATATTTTCTCATGATATTATTCTTGCAGAAAATGACCCACATAGAGAATTGCCACTGTTCTTTGCTTTATTTTCCTAGTGTTAAGAGCATGTTATCTCCTCTCTTCCAAAGGCAGAGATTTTTTTTGCAGATGTGAACAAAATTTACTAGTAAATGCATTTTAGCGGGAACACATGATAGTGCAAACACAACATGTTTTTTTTAAGACTGTAGGTCAGAAGGGGCAGAGCTCAGAAAGCAGCTTTTAAGATCTTGAGATAAGCAACAGATGGTATAATTATGCAAAATCAATAGTGCAGTTGGTATACAATAGAAAGCAGCAGATGGGTTAATTTTAGGTTAGATTGTGGCCCCCATTGTTTCCCTTAGGTCAGCTGCAGAAGTAAGTAAAACAAAACTTTACCAGATATACAATATTTATGTGTCATTGTACCACTGGAAGAGGTATTTGAAAATGAAAATCCATGTGTTGTCTTTTTCCCTCATATTGTTCTTTAATCAGTTTTAGTTTTACAGGTGCTTCAACATGACTGCTGGTAAGTATGGCACAATTAAAATTACATTGGCTAAAGATGCAATATAACCATTTTTTAAACTATTGACTGTACTTCTAGAAAACAGGAAAGCACTTTAACCCTGAAGTGTCCTACATTTTTAGCTTGGTGAATCTCAGATATTTTTAAAAATTAAACCCAATTAGATTAACCCAGATTCAGAAGAGCCACAAAAACCTTGGAGCCAGGACAGATGTTTAATATTTCCTTATAAAGGTTGGGAAGATGTTTTATTTTGATAAAAACCAATATATACAAGTAAAATGTAAAAAATACAAGTCTATATATAAGTCTCTATTCTATGTTCTGTCCTATTGCTATTATTTCTATATTGTTACACAAGTTACTATTACTATAATTAAATCTACAATACTTTTATTATTCAATTACTATTACAATACTAAATTCTATAGTAATGCTATTTTTTTCTTATACCATTTCTTCTGCTTTTTTCTTCTATTACTGACCTGCATGTAGAATACTTGCAACTTTCCACATTGTGTCATAATATGGTTGCACTTTTTCTTGCTGTGCCTCCTTTTTCTTTGGACAATTTACTCCTTTTGAAAGAAACATATCTTCTTTGGTTTGGTTGCTTCACCCTATTTGCTAGTGACCCCAGAGCTTCCAAAACTCCCATCTTCTCCCACACCTGTTTCAAGGTTGCAGCTTGAATAGCAGCCCTACTGTGCTGATGAGGGGTGAGGAAGGCTCAGACAAGAAGGGAAGCACAGGTGCCTGCATTTTTTTTAAAGTAGCCTGCTCTTCTATGGGGACAATTCCCCCAAAGATTTTATCCTGATTTATCCTGAAAGGTAGCCATTTCAAGTCCCATTGAAATGGCAAATTGGCAAGTATGTGTTTCATCTTATTAAAAATATAACAGTAAGTAAATGAAATGCAACTTTTATCTGGAACTACTAAATATTATTTGATCTTTTTCAAGGTACTTGACCGAAAATGTACGACAGTCACGAAGATGTTGATTATGATTCTGAAAATAACTCTAAAGAGAGGGAGCAGAAGCTGAAGTCAAATCCAGATATTGATAGAGGATGGGCTTGGATGATAGTCTTTTCTTCTTTCCTGGTGCATATACTCATCATGGGATCACAAATGGCTCTTGGAATTCTCAACATGGAATGGCTTGAAGAGTTCAGTCAAAGTCGAGGGCTGACAGCCTGGGTCAGCTCCCTCAATATGGGTATTACTCTGATTGTAGGTAGGATCCCATAATGTTGCTATTATATACCAGTGGCCATCTTGATTAAATATTGATGTATCGAAACTGGTCCTCTGCATGAATATGGGGTAATCCATTATCTCAGTGGAAAAAGCCTATATAAATGGGATAAGAAATACTCCTAACATGGGGATTCCCATATGTAATATTGAACATATTTGCTCAGTCTTACCTTATTAATAAATATAATATTCCTTAGACTTTACATATGGCAATCTCCTTAAGATAGCATGTTCAGACTAGCATTTTTTTGACTGTGGAAAATTTTCTGGAAAATGTGACAATAACATATATTCTTTTTTATTTTTGTTTCATAGTTAGCGAAGCCAATTAGACTTGACCATATAACATGTTTAAAATACAGGATAGCCGAAAATGTGGTGTTTATGCATTCATTCATGATGCAATTCTCTGAGCCAGAGAACAAGAATGAATGTTTGCAAAATGTTGTGGAAGAAATTCTTGTGGCTTTGCAGCAAGGCTCTATTCTCTTCAGCAGTCGGAAAGGAAACAGGGAGGAACAAAGCCTCACAGTCAGATAGGGAAGTGCTGCTGTGAGCTAATTGGAGCTGTGCAGATTGCCAACCACCTTTAGATTCCTTTTTGATGCAGTTCAGAATGTTTGCCTAGAAGGCATTATTGCACTTCTGATGGAAAACAACTTTCCTCCTAGGTCACCTTGATCTGACTTCAGTCTCCCTCAGAACAGTCTGGCAATGAGATGCAGACTCCATTGTGAAAATAGGGTCTTCAACAAGCAGTAAGCAGGCCATCTTGGACCAGGGATCAGGAGGCTCTCTTCACGAGCCCTTCGTGTCCAAATTATACCTTATTCAGATGATTTCCATAGAATTTCCCAAACTCTGAATGCAATTATTTATTTAAATTGTTTGTGTGACTAACCATCTCAGAATAATATTGTGGGCAGCTTACAAGGATTAAAATATGAACATGAACAGCATACAATCTCTGGTGCTCAAGTATAAAACACAATAATTCCAGTCACAAACAATGCATCAACAATAGCAGAGGCACATCTAACTTCCTTGAGCCAAATCACTGTGGAAAAATCTTTAGGACTGTTTGAAAGGCTAGCTGGGCAGAGAGTTATCCAGATCTCCAGCAGGATGCTGTTTCATAGGCAGGCCTTGCCCAAAAAAGGCACAACACAGGGATTCAACAACATGACATTGCTTAATAGACGAAACCCAGGATGTGCCTCCTTTGCTGTATCTGTTGGACTAAGCAGCAACAGTGAGACAGAGGCAGTCCCACAGTTTGGGAAAAACAAATTCCTGCCCTGCCCTGCCTGCCTACCCTGCCCATTTTTCTGGTAGACCTGCAAGTATTTTGCCTAGCCACTTTAATGATTTTTTCCACCCATCCTAAATATTGTGTTTGGTTCAATTGGCAGAGATCTGATTATAGTTCTGAAATCAGGGGATCTGAGGGTTATGATATATACTGTAAAAAGAGTAACTATATAAATCCTCTACATTAAATACATCATTGAATCCCCCTTTCTCTCCTTCTCAATGTGGTGATTTATACAACCGCAGAATTTTTTCTTCTTCATGGCACAGCTACTACAATGCTGCCATTTGCAGCATGACAAAGTTCAGAAGAGTTTGAAGCTAATGTTTAGTAGCAAATTGAGTCTGGAAATGGTTTATTAGAGGCATCTATTCAATTTCATATAAATTACAATATATCCTGAATTACTCTGCTCTACTGCCTTGTCTTGATTCAGGCTCAGCCCTTTATCAGTTTTATGTACTAATCTGTCATGAACACCTAAAGATGTACTGTATTCTTAAATGTGAATGCTTTGAAACCTTGGACAAACTTTAACTTGCTGAGAACAGCAAAATGCATACGTTCTTAAGGAGTTTTCAGCTGGTCATCTGAGGATTTCTGAATTAATTTTTAGCAGCTTTTCAGATAATAAGTATGGGACAGAAATGCTACAGTTGCTTGTAAATGGTTTATGGTAAATTATTCTATCACTGATTCAAACTCGAAAAACTGGCAGTTCTGTTCATCTCATAAAATAATTCCAAAATTATATAAAAAAAATCTTGTTTTGGAATAATTTAAAGAAACCCCTCAAGTCTGGCACTGAGAAATAATTCTGTTTTGCATTAAGTGCTAAGAAATTATTTTATCCTATTTTTTAGTATTCTGAACAGGATTACATAATCTGGAGGAAAACAGATGAATGCTTTGCAGATTGTAACTGAGACATCAGCATTTTTGCTCTATTAATCATTAACAAGAAAGATAGTTCATAAAAAGTGAATACAATTTTGGCAAGCACTTTCTACTTCCTTTGGGCTATTGAAGAGGACCTTTTCAAACAGCAGGAGAAATATATTTATGTTAAGAATTATGGTAGAGTTCGCTCAAATCAGTCCCCAGGATTACTTAAAATAAAGAGACTTAATTTAAAAGGAGAGAAATGTGCGTCCATGTAAATAACATAAAATAAAATTAGAACATAGAAATAAATTTCAGAATGGCTGGAATTTTGTTGTGGGATAGACTTTCTAGTGTCTTTTATTATTTCTGTTTGTTTGTTCCTAATAGATTTCAAAAGCTTGCATATTTTTGGGGCAAAGCATACAGCTTATTTCCTTATTGCTGAAAGTGATGTTACAAATACTAGTCAGTTAAATGTCCATAGCACTATTCTCCAGATAAAAATATTAAGACAAACACTGTAATCATAGCTGATTGGGTTACAGTATGATAGCTTGGAAGTTGAAAGCATTCATCCTCAGCCATTTATGCCAAAGATTATATCAGGCCAAGTTTACATTGATTAAATAGGCCAGTTCTTCCAATAGGCTGGAATATAGGATGATGGTAAACTGATTTCTTTCCAATTTCTAATTTATAGCTAGTTCAATTATGGCAAAAGAGGTCATAAAATTGCATGCAATTCACTTAACAACCATATTGTTTAACAATGGAAGTTCCAGTCTGAACTGTGATCATAAATTGAGGACTACCTGTATAGGACCTTAGATGCTATATAATTTTGTACCACTAACATTTAGCTTTTTGAATCACATTGCATTTGTGTAAGGTCTTATTGCTGTAATCTAGTGTCCAAAATTCATTTATCGATAAGAAATAATTGGACAAATCTTTGGGTGTAGACCTTTACCAATTAATGCTTATGCAATGTATAATGATTTGGCAAATTGTAGTCAAATGCTTCCAAGTCTCATATTTAAGGAGAAAATAATTAGAGTTCATGAAAGCAATCTTATTTCACATGTTCCGTCACAGGTCCCTTTATCGGTTTGTTTATTAACACCTGTGGATGTCGGAAGACAGCAATAACTGGAGGAATCTTAAATGCCCTGGGATGGATATTAAGTTCCTATGCTTCAAATGTACATTACCTCTTTATTACATTTGGAATTATAGCTGGTAAGCATAAATATTGGATATACATTAGGAAATCTACTTTTCTGAAGAACATAGATATGCTAACACAAACAAGCCTAAATCTGGCAGCAAATGAGTTCATCTTCTCTGTGAACACATAGTCTGTAGCTTCAGGCTATATAAATTTGATTAAGGGGTTAAGTTGCATATATAACACAGCATGTATTCAATCATAACTATTCATGGAGCTGCATTTTGGACCAGCTGGAATTTTAGAATAGTCTTGAAGAGTAACCCTAGAGGGCATTGCAATTGTCCAAATTGGAGCTGCTAGGACATGAGTGACAGAGAGAAGGCCCATCTGATTCAGGATGGCACATGATGGGACTTCAAAAACTCTGGATTCTACTCTCACCTATTCCCTGAGTAGGAAGCAAGAATCCAAAGGAACTCCCAAATTATGTATTTAGTTCTACCCGGAGAAGTGATATTTAGTCCAGAACTGTAGAATGTAAATCATTGTGATTGGCAGGTCCTTGAAACCAATGCCACTAAGTTTTGCTAGTTTTGAGCCTACGATGTTCCTCCTCATCCGTACTCTCACAGCCTCCAGCCACTGGAACATCTTCTACAGCATTGTTTGCCTAGCTAGGGATCTATATGCAATCATCTGCACACTAATAATACTTGACAGTTGATGACCTAGCCTAGCAGTGTCAGATATACTGTAAACTGAATAAGTGGAAGGAATATTGAATCCTCTGGCATTCTGAAAATGAAGGGTCTTAGGTCAGGTCTCTCCTAGAACTAGCCCAGAAGGAAGGAGTAAAACAGCTGCAAAATAGTAACAGTTCATTGACCTAAAGCCTGACCGATACGAACCACAAATATGTATTTATTATGAATTTAAGTCTACATTAAAAAAAGTAGATACCCTCTTTCAAAATAAATCAAGAGAGAGCCTTCTAACCCTACACCTTGTTGTAACCCAAATTTAATAACTTAGTTGATATTTAAAAGTTGAAGTGTAGATTTGTTCTAGGAGACATGGCTTTGGAATGTGACCATCGACAATGAGTTTAGGATGAAATACTACTTTCAACACAAAAAGTTTGAAAAGATCCTAGAATGATTTATGTCCCATTTCTAGTCCCGAGGGCCAAAACCTAAAACCATATGTCTCTGTTTGTAAAAATCTAGATATTTAACCTAGCCTTTCATAGCTGTTTTAGGATTTTCTGGCAGTTAATCTTCATCTATTAGTACAATCTTGGAGGGTTCCTGGATGAGTCTAAAATGTTTCATGTTTCAGGTATTGGAAGTGGGATGGTATACCTGCCTGCTGTAGTCACGGTGGGAGAATATTTTCAAAAGAGAAGAGCTCTTGCCCAGGGACTCAGCACAACTGGAACAGGCTTTGGTGCGTTCCTGATGACAGCTTTGTTGAAATATCTTTGTTTGGAGTTTGGCTGGAGGAATGCTGTGTTCATTCATGGTGCAGTCTGTCTAAACTTGTGTGTTTGTGGAGCACTTCTGAGACCAATTCATCACAAGAAGGAAACTACTGAGCAAAGCAAGGATGGAAACAAGAGTCAAAGCAATAGTCCAACAAAAATTCTGTCCTGCTCTGCCGAAGTGCTAACATCCAATTGTGTTTTAAGGGAAGCAGAGAAAGAGGCAAAGGGAGGACAGGGTGCAAAAGAAAAGACTGTCAAAATTTCAGCCTTGGAAAATAAAGATGGAATCAGAGACCAAAAGGAAATCTATACTCTTGGTATTCTGAAGCGAGTAGGCCAGCTGACGATCACAAGCCAGAAAGGCTTCAGGACCTGGTATTCTAGTTACTTTGGAACTGCTTCTCTCTTCACCAACAGAACATTTGCAGCTTTTGTATTTTGGGCTTTATTTGCCTATAGCACTTTTGTGATCCCTTTCATCCATCTTCCTGAAATAGTGAAACAGTACAGGTTATCAGCACAGAATGACATCTTTCCTTTGACCTCAATTATTGCAATTGTTCACATTTTGGGGAAGGTCATCCTTGGCATAATCTCTGATTTGCCTTGCATCAGTGCTTGGAATGTCTTCATGGCAGCTAATTTTACTCTTGTCTCTTGCATTTTTATTTTGCCATTAATGCATACATTTGCTAGCCTAGCAGTGGTTTGTGCCCTAATAGGATTTTCTAGTGGATATTTTTCACTTATGCCTGTTGTCACTGAAGATCTAGTAGGGATTAAGCATCTTGCAAATGCCTACGGAATCATCATTTGCGCCAATGGGATATCAGCACTCTTGGGACCACCATTTGCAGGTAAATGTAACATTTTATTGGACTTTCATGTTAATTTAGCAATAGCACTTAGACTTATATACCACACCATAATGCTTTACAGCCCTCTTTGCACAGTTTACAAATGTCAGCATATTGTCCCAACAATCTGGGTCCTCATTTTACTGATCTCGAAAGGATGAAAGTCTGAGTCAACCTTGAGCCGGTCAGGATCAAACTCCTGACTGTAGGCAGAGTCAGCCTGCAAATGCTGCATTCTAACTACTGCCATCATGACTGATCTCTGCCTATATTTACATGCTCAATTACTTTACTTCTCTAGGAAGAAAAGACATAGCAACTGCTTTGATGGCATGCCTGCCAATTATAAAAACCTAATTTGAATATTTTGCATAGCTCTGATACTAAAGTTTGAAAATCAGCAGATATTGTTCATTTTCTACAAAACACCAGCAAAATATGTCAAGGAGAGGCAGGTTTTAGCTATTTCCTTTATAGAAATACTTATTCATTATCCCGTACTACCATTACATTATTGTTATTGTTTTTATTTGTAATAATTAGTGTGATATAGTTATCTCAGAATGCAGGAATGACAGTAATGGTCTTTCAGGAAGTCAGATTCTTACTGAATTTTTTTGGAAAAGGGAATTCTAATACTTAAGAGCATTTTAACAACGGACTCTACTATCTTGAGGGATAGAGGGATAAATTCCTGATGAGGCTGGATGTTTATTCGGATTACTTTAATTTGGATGCCATTATGGAACAGGAGTTTGAAATGCATGGCTGAAATGTTGTTGTTTTTTCTGACCAGGATTCTACAATTTTAATAAATATGAAGTAGAGAAAGGCAAAGAAATTGAAAAGAGAAGTAAACAGGAATACATGTATTTTTATCACATGCACTTATGTTTAGTGAAAATAGGATTTAGGACTTAGATCAGCAAACTGTGCAAAATATGCCACCCATTTTTGCAGAATGTTTATTGGCAAACATTATTTTTGGGTGGCATGATTTGGTTTACTTTTATGCAAATAAAAATAAACTCCATCTGAATCCCTTAGCCAAATTACCTTTGAAAGAATGGGAACTGAATTGGTCAGTGTCACATCTACCACAGTGACAGCAAAGTTGCCAATCTAAGTGGATGTTCCAGACGTTTTATAGAAAAGGTGCATTTAAATATACATTTGAAGAAACACATTAGTATCCCGCTAGTGTTTCAGGCTTAAGACAATAAGGGAGAAAGGACTGATTTGAGAGAGTGGGGAAATTAATGTAATGTATGATGATCTGGTTACAGATGAAAAAAGAAGTTAGACATAGATTCATGTCAACGAGTAATACTGTATTAATAGAAAAAGTAATGTTCTTTGCTTCTTGACGTCATTGATTCCATTGACTGCTTTCTTTTTATTTTCTAGGATGGATTTATGATCTCACACAAAAATATGACTTTTCTTTCTACATATGTGGCTTCCTTTATATGGTGGGAATACTTACTTTGCTCATTCAGCCTTATATGGACAAGGAAAAGCCATCATCAGGAAAAAATATAGAAAATGAAAATGTTTAGAACCATTCATGTTTTATGGAAGAAAACTGGCATTTCTGAAGGAAGTATCAAATTATATATCTGATTTTGCTAACAGTGTTAAATAAAACTGAAAATCTCAATCCTTATACAGAGGTGCATGTCAATTGATAATTGAATATTAATGTTTGTGAAATTGGAGATAAAAGGCAGGAAACAAAGAGCTTGGGTATGAAGTGAATATTTGCCATCAAAGGCCAAATATTGGTCAGTGTGAGAAAAAGTCTGCAAATAATCCTTTGCACCCTTTGCCAAAAATAATAAGTAGGAGAAAGAAGATTCAAATCTTGGGGCATGCATATAAATACTGTCAAGTTCCTAGTTTGGTAGAATGGATTTTCATCTTTCTGCAATTGCTTGCTGCTATAATAGGATATCAAGTACAGATTCCTTTGAGACTGCAAAGTTCAGCAGGAAGGTTATTGCAAGAGACTAAAGCAGATATACCTGACATTTCTCCTTATTTCTGATCCACTGAAAGACAAGTTCGGATTTTCTAGACCAAGACCATGGTTACTGACCCCCTTTTGTTATCCTCTTTACCATGGGTTACATTTTAATGCTTTGCTCCAAAATCAGTATCAAATAGCAACCTAGAAAGATCAATCCATTCAAAGAATCATCTAGCTCTGCTAATGGACCAGAATTTTCCATAGCCAAACACATCACTAATCCTATTGCAGTTTCCAATTGACTTAGCAACTATTGGTGCAATAGCTGCTATAATTACAGTTCTCCCATGTTCTCTATTTTGCCTGGCAAATATGATGGGAATGTGGGCAAAATTATGATCTTTCACACTCGGTGTGAAGTACACTTTTCAAAAACCTGGAGAATTTACTACAGATCAGTTCTTCATAAGATTCATATTAATATTGAATAATGGACGGTGGTATAAAACTTCCCATCCCTTCTAATTCAAAATAGTCTAAATGTGGATAATGATGATGATTTTGTGATGTGTTTGAGGAGTGTTTTTGATAATTCTGCTGAAATCAACTGCCTGTGACAAGATGCTTAACGAGTGCATATGTGGTAGACTTAGATTTAGGTCAAGATTTAAACTGAACTATAAAGGGATTAAACCACCAGTTTAAAGAGGGCCTAGCTGATGAGCTATGGGATGAGTTCACTGGGGAGGGAATTTCAGCGATCCTACCTGTGTCAATCTAATTTTGAATCTGAAAACAGAAAACTCGAATCATGACAATGCTACTGTGAGAAAAGAAAAGCTCATGGTTCTCTCGCCTTCTTTCCTCTTCTTGCTCATTACAATATTCTAGTGGCAGTTGCAAGCAAGCTAGAAGAATCTTTCTGTAAATGAAAAAACAGTACTGACGTGCAGAAGACTTTGCTTGTATTGTTAAGAATTGAGCCATTTTGCTCAGGAACATCTTGCTTAGTCTCTCCTTCCTGTTGTAACAATTAAGTTCTATAATTATGGAGAAAAGAGGTACTTTGCAAACAGATATGCACTCCAGAAAACAACTTTGTCAGAGCTGAGGATTTCTAAAAATTTTGAAGGGTCAAGGGTTTTGACCATAGATATCAACATAGCACCATTTGTTTCTATGGAGATTCTTAATCATCTGGGTCATGGTTGTCCCAAAGGTGCTTTTCAAAAGCTACCGTAACTAGAGTTTCTTTGTTTTTTTCCTTAAAGACATTTAGCTTCTCATCCAACAAACTTATTCAGTTCTCTCTTCTTCAGTCTGAAGAAGCTTCTTGGATGAGAAGCGAAACGTCTTCAAGGGAAAAAAAAATCAACAAAGTCCAATTGCCTTTTGAAAAGCACGTTTGGGACTATGCGGTCCTTTGTGTTACTCTTAAGATTTAAGATGGTATGCAATACAACTATGTTCTCCAATATGAGCCAACAGTGTGTGGTAGCAGCTAAAAAAAATCCAATGCAATCCTAAATTGCATTAACAGAGGGATTCAGTCAAAATCACTTGAGGTACTAATACCACTCTATAAAGTCTTAATATGACCACACCTAGAATACTGCAATCAATTTTGGTCTCAACAATATAAAAAATATGTTGAGACTAGAAAAATGCAGAGAAGAGCAATAAAGATGATTAGGGGACTGGAGGCTAAAACAGGAACTGGGCATGGCTAGTCTAGTGAACAGAACAACCAGGGGAGACATGATAGAAGTGTTCCAATATTTGAGGGGCTATCACAGAGATGAGGGGTTCAACCTATTTTCCAAAGTAACTGAAGGCCAGACAAGGAATAACAGATGGAAACTGATCAAAGAGAGATTCAACTTGGAAATGAGACATTTCCTGACAGTGAGAACAATCAACCAATGGAACAGACTGCCTTCAGCTGTTGTTAGTGCTTCATCACTGGAGGCTTTCAAGAAGAGACTGGGCTGCCATCTGTCAGAAATGATGTAGGGACTCCTGCTTGGGAAGGGGGTTGGACTAGGTGACCTACAAGGTCTATTCTATTCTATTCTATTCTATTCTATTCTATTCTATTCTATTCTATTCTATTCTATTCTATTCTATTCTATTCTATTCTACATGGGCAATTTTATGACCTCTGCAATCATGCACTACTATGCCTTGCCTTCTCAGCATAATAAAGTCCCAATGTGGATGAAAATATCAGTGACAAGCTCTTAAGATCTGGCTCAGTTTCTGAATGCACAGAGTCATTCCTGATATCATTATCAAGAACTTATTTACCTTAATTTGAAATCCTGATGCATTTTCCTATTGTTTGGCAATGGCTTAACTTCAGATTCATAATGTGTGTATTTATTGGGACCAAGAAACCATTATGTTTGATATTTAGTTATGCTAGAATAATAGATTTCAAGATCTAACTCACTCCATCAGTTAGATTCCATCTGCTATTTTATCTGCCAGATACGTTGACCACACAAACATTTTGGGAAGTGAAAAAACAAAATTTACTCACCCAATGGTTTTGTAAAATTATCATTGGAACTAAGATCTCAGCAAAATGTTTGTATCTGGAACTCAATTGGTGTGCCTAAATGAATGTATTAATGACAAATTGTAAATGGGATGAATGGATATCATTACTTTTTATTATTCTATTATTTGTTTTATTCTTTCTTTTTCACTTGTCTGAATGTAAATATTGTAGAATAAGCAATTAAATGGGTTTTGTTCACCAGTCTTCTATGTTACTTGGAACTCTGTCTTTTTTATGAAAAAAAGAAATATCTCTTAATGTAGTTCATAATTTTAGATCTGGAACTCTTGTTACCTTCTTTCACTTATTTCTACTTAAAATAGATAGATAAAACATACATTTTTTACCAAATTTTATTTGGGAGACGTTATATCCTAACCATATGAAAGGGGCATAAATATTTAACAGTATTTGATACCAGTTACAAGTTTCAATATGTTGTAATGGAACTCAATTTGGCCAATTTTCCTGCAGTCTTCATTAATTTATTAATCACACTTTTCCCTTTGGACAAATACCTGTCTAGTTTACCAGTTAATTTATTCTGAAAAATAAGATGAGTGTTTTGCACACAGACTTCAAGTTACTGCTAACAATCTGAGTGTTTACTTGAAAGAAAAATCAATTGGCCTTCTTTGGATATTGTATTTCCTTAAAAGGTAGGCAAATGAATCCTTTTGTGAAGGCTCTCCTATCTCAGGACCACCATCTTCACTTTTGTCAACTTCCAGTGTTTCCTGTGCTTGCTAACTTTTGTAAGTTTATTCTACATTTTACCATTTTAGGCTATGCCACTCATAGAATTGCTAAACTTTTAACTGAGATCCTGGCACTCAACCTTCTTTCCAACCCATTTCTGCCATCTAAATCTCTCCCTCCCTTTGTTATTAAAAATGATGCCTCAAGTTTTACTGTAAGCAATGCTTTTACAGCCTATGCTGCAGGCAATCTGTTTCTTTGCATATTTTTGTCTGGATAACTTTTGCCAGCTGAGAGGAATTACTAAGTTTTAATAAAGAGTTTTTGCCATAAAGGAGGCCTTTCTGGAAGGAATAAAACTCTAACCAGCGGTGCTGATTCTGGTACTTCTGCTGAGTCCTGACACCCAGAAGAAGTGCCAATTAGCTGGAAAGCAGCGCTGATCCTGGTGCTTCTGCTGAGCCCTGACAGCCCTGCAGCTCCAGCCGTCTCTCGCTCAGGCTTCTGCGGTGCTGCGCCAGTTCAACTCATTCCCCTCCCCCGCTACCACTTTTCTAGGATGGTCGCGTACCACCTGCCAGGTGCCAATGTACCACAGGTGGTACCCATACCACTGGTTGAAAAGCCCTGGACTAGAAGACTTTCAAGGCTCCTTCCAACTCCATTATTCTGCCGAAGTTTTTATATAATTAAACTGAACATTAAACTATATTGCACAGTATTATTTAATTTTCAATATAAGGATTTTATCTAGATATTTATAATAAAAAGACAAATTTTTTTTCTACCACATATAAAATCAAATATTTAGAAATTTCTAAATGGAATATTTTATTAAAGGACAGACATATTAGTAGCAAATGTGCTAACTAAAATATTGGCATATGTAATTAATGAAATAGAAAACAAATAAAAAGATACTGAAAGAAACCCACACACATTTGTTTCTGTAGTAGATAATTCTAGTCTTGAAAGTATAATTATTTTAAAATTATAACACCAAGCACCCTATATCAATAGGAAAAAAATAGGTATAATGTTTTTTGAAGTTGTTAAGTTAAAGTAGAAAATGGTCATGTCTGCATTGTTTCAGATCATCTAGCTGTATTTTAAATTTTTTTAAAGTAGAAACACTATTTTCCTATTATAAGATTAATGGCCCCATCTTTATAAATATTTTATAAAGAATTATGTTAGGTAACAAAAAGATCCTTTATAGTGCAAATAATCAGGGTCCTTATGAACAATATTGCTTTATCATTCAGTCTATGATATTTTTGAGCCACTCAGGATGAATCAGCATTTTAAAACTACAGAAAAAGCATTACACATTTTTATACATTTATGAAAGAACAAGGGATTTAATATGCTGCAAATGTATAACTCACAGTATGACTCTCATGTGTCTGGAAGTTAACACTCTTGCCTGGCAAATACATTTCTTGGTAAATTCAATGCTACTCAGTTTTGTAGAAATGCTTATCAGGAGAAATTGTTTCACAGGCAAAGGATGTAAGACTCCTCTCCCTAATTTTTTTTAGGGATAGATTTTCTGAGGACTTTAGAATTAAAGCTTGACAAAGAAATGTTTGCTTTGTCAATGAAATTGTGGGATAGAAATGTTAATAATTTAATTAAAGGAAGAATACATAACAGATTTATAGCAAAAGAAACCAAAAAACAAATGAGTTTTCATTATCCCAGTCTTACTATTTGACATTAATTTGGATTAATTTGGGGGATTTTTAACTTTTCTTGATAATTGTAGCTGATTACATTTGCCATCTCCTGGAAGTTCTCATTTTATTTTCTTAGAATTCTATAGATATTGTGTCATTTCAGGTATTGTATGAAAAGAACAACAACAGCTTTCTCTATGTATCCATACATTCATATTATTAATCACTGCTGATAATAGTGGTATAAAATAAAAGGTGGCTGCTACCTGCTGGGCACCAAATACAGTCCCAATAAAGCAAAAAAAGACATTAAAAGACAATAAAATGTGAATAATTTAAATTTACTGAAAACAAATGGAGAACAAAATGCAATTTAAATGAAATATTAAATGAAAATGTATGGAATAATATAGTATAGTATAACAAAGATTTTCTCAGACATCTCTAATAGCATATTTTAAGGCAGCCTATATATTCAAATCTTGTGATCAGATTTTTTTTCTAAAAAGCTAAACAAGATGTTCAGCTTACCCCCCCCCCAAAAAAAAAGAAAAAAAAAGAAAAAAATCCACACATTTCAAAATGTTTAATTAGGAAAAATACTTGTCTAATCAGTCAGACTTTCAGAAGAAGCAGCTGACTTATTTCTCCTTCTTCGGAGCTGTAATTGCAGCTGAAGCTTGTTAGTGAAGAAGAACTGCTTCCACCCAATTTCTTGTGCCAGGGACTTCATTTCTGGTGTGATGGTGCCCAATAAATCTTGCACAATCATTTCCCATAGTTTGTCAGAGTTGCATAACTATTTGTAAAGAAATAAAAAGTATGAGCAGATAAAAATAAATTAATTTTATTAGAAGTAAATAAATATTAGGATCTGATTCCATTGGGCTGTTTGAGTTCCAGTATTTGCAAGTTTTTTCAAAAATGAAACAGACAATTGCACAATGATGTTCATATCCATAATTTAGATAAGATAAGATAGATAAGATAACCTTTATTGTCATTTTTTTACTGTAGGCACAACGGCACACATCAAAAATGAAATTTAGTTGCCCGCTCTCAAAGTGAAACACATACATGACACACACAACATATGTATAGACCCATACCCCTACATATACATAACAAATAAATATTAAATACTGTCCACCTTGAATATATAACAAAAGGAGGAAGCTTGAGAGTTCACATTTATAGTACCTGTTATCACCATGAGTATCAACTCTACATTTTAAAAATAATTCAAATACTACTTAGGAACCATCCTTTATTTCAGTTACTTATTACAACCATTCATTTTGAATCTGATGATGTTGCTCCAGTTGAGTCTGTGCTTCAGGATTGTCAGCCTCAGGACCCAATAGGTCCGGAGTCATTTGAGCCTGATCAGCCACAGGTATCTTCTGTTCTGGTATAACAGTCTGATAACATTACACAACCCCAAGCCCCAGGTTTAGACATCTACAGAGGCAAGCAGAGCAATTCTCCTCAATGAGACTCCTCACTAAACAAACTGTGAGGCATGAGTGGTTGCAGCCAACTATTAGCAGACAGATTTAGGTAGCTGCTTTCCTTGCAGACTTTTGCTGGAGATAACCATTTGGCTTTCTAACTTGTGACTCTTTGGCTGACTACCTTATTTGACATTCTGTGGCTCTTGGAACATATTTGGGTGATGCTTTTGCTTCTTGGCCTGCAACAGCATTTTCCAGGCAAATGCATTTTACTAGGCATCTGAGCTACATTCCTATTTGTTGTTATCTGTTTTAACTGAAGTACATATTTCAGCTTTGCAAGTGTGTGCCAGCAACCTTGAAACAAAAATTTTTCGAACTCTTCCTAATTTTAAGATTTTATGCTAATAATAAAAACACTAGTAACTGGTTGACCTGGGCTACCCTTATAGAGAAAACAGGAAGTAGACAAGAACAGAAATTTATGGCCTTCGATATATTAGCTATTATCCCATGGAGTATGGGGCAGTAGTGGGATTCGCCAGTTCTCATCACTTTGGCAGAACCGGTAGCTAATTTTTTGTTGCCCAGGCCCAGAATGGACTTCCTGAAGTGGCATCCATACAGAGAACCGGTTGTTCATATATTTGAATCCCACCACTGAGTATGGGCAATAGTCACAAACAATGGAAGTTCAATAACATTCAAATATTCCTCACAGTTGAATTTGGAGTTTGGCCAACTGTGATTAAGAAGCTATATATGCTACCAGAAATTAAAACATAAAACATCTGACAATTTATTTGAATGTAAATAAACTGGATCATCAAGCATAAGTATATATTTTTAATGCAGGAAATAAAAGCAGAATGGTTTGTATGGTTGTTTGTATCATAGATAACTTTGATTTGCTTTTTAAAACGAACCTTAGATAACATGTTTTAAAAAATAAAATTCTTTATCAAATTTATCTTTATGTCACATAACAGAGCTGCAACACTCTGATACTACATATCTGATCTGTAATCATTTATGTGAATCAAATAATCTATTTACCTAGGGATAAATCTTAATTATGTTTGATAGATAAATGTAGGATTACTTTCTAAAACCTTTTTTTCTTGAAGCTTCTTAATATTTTAATTTTTTAGAATGTTTTACTAAAAGAACTAATAAACCATAATTATAATCAAAATTAAACTCTGTTAAAAATTCATCTCCATTACTTTCTATTTTGTATTAGGTTTAAGCTCCCTCTACTGGCATTTTAATGATTTCAAAATTTAGAGACGATAGAAATGGCAAGGCACTTTATTATAATAACGAATGGTGCAGATCATCCCTAGTTAACGTGCCAGATGAAATGCAGATATACAATATATTATCAATAATAGTATCTTATGACAGTGTAACAAAGTTAAATTTGTCAAGTCAAATGGTTATATATAACATAAGGAAGAAATCACTGAGCTATGCAATCCAATTTAAAAATACAGTCTCCTTTGAATCGCAGTTGAATTCTAGTGCCTTCCTATAAAAGGGCACTACTGTTTCCTCTTCCAGGATGCTATTCAATTTCCCAATCTAGTCTGCAACACTGGCATTTCTGCTAGTGTTTTATCAAAATACTAACCAAACACGAAGTTGGTTTATTGCATGGATTTTGAATAGTACAGCTACCCACATTTAAGCCTCTTATGCTGCTAAATAGAAATATTAGCTATTCAAAAAAAAAATGAAAAGGAAAAGAACATTGATACTGTACATATTGTATGGAGGACAGCCTTCCACAATTAGCTTAGCAAGTTGAGGTTTTACTATAAGACTTTAATAAAGAAATCAAAGTACCATAAATCTTTAGAAATGAGATATTTATGCAGAACTAGAACTAAAAGCTCACACATATCAAGTTCATTTTTACCGTTTCAAATCTGTGTGATACTTGGGAAAGCCTTGCAATGTCTTCAAGATCCAAATAAGACATGATGTACAGAAGTAAAGTATCAGGCAGTCGCACGAGGTAATCAAAATCACCTCTGCACAGATTGAAGATATGCTCCAGAGTGCTTGCTCCAAACACAATGGCTATTTGAACTGCAATTTTAGAAAGTACAACTAAGTCAGAGAAACTTAAGTATAATCAATACATATTAAACAGGTTTATTGCTTACAATTTAGACAGTACTTAAGGAATCATTGCTAAAACCCGCTGATTCTTGAGTTGTTGAACTCATTTGAGAATCAGTATTATAACAGATTTCAACCTCATCCTGAAATGATCTGGAATGGTAAATTCCATAATTCTCAGCAAGGTGGAAAACACCACCATATAATAACAGTGATTCTTCTTTACTATTCTCTACTAGAGCTGTACAAAGCATTTGAAAAGGAGCTATTATAATATGCATTTCACAAGTGAAACATCTATCCTTGAAGCATTATAGCAGCCTTTTCCCTTGAAAGATTTGACCCAAGGCCCAACCGTGGTTGCTTTTTATGTATCTGCATAGAGATAATGCTTCCATTGGACTGTCAGAAAAAGCAAATCTTGAAATTGCGGGATGGTGACAATAACGAAAATGAGGGTGAAGGATGAAAGATAATGAAGAACGCTAATTGGCTGTAAAAGAAGACAACATAGAGATGTGTACCTTCTGGAGGCTGATCTTAGCATCATGGAGTAAAAGGCTTTTCTATTCTTTTGAGTGGAACAGAAAGTTTTGGAATGATTTTTTTAAACTATGTTTATGTCTTGATGCTTGCCCATTCTCAACAGGGTGCATATCACATTGAACAGAGCTGCTAGATGATATTTTACAATGCAATAAACACAGAAAAATCTATTTCTTTACTGCTGTATAGTCACATTGGAGATTCAAACCTGAGCTCATCTTTATGTTCAGTTTTAGTCACTACTTATTTTATACCACTGATGCTGCAGGTTTCTCTTCAATTGTTTTATATTACAGAGCTCCTTCGTGAATGAAGGAATTTCCTGGGGTTGACAGGCAGGCAGAAGTTGTTTGATAGCAATTGCATTTAGTGTGTTTATCACTTCTGAGTTTCAGAGACTGACCAAGTATGTAACTAAACTATTTGCCAGTTCAATGAGAAAATCTCCAAGGAATCTGAATGATTTCCTGTAGGAATCTATTCAGATCCATAAGGTATCTGGGGTAGCATCCAAATGTGTCTTCCATTTATAGAGGGTAGTAGTGCCAACAAGCCCCCATACTGACTTAAGATTGCTCTGTCCAATAACAATAGGTTGGAATTATTGATGAACCCAATCCTAAAGACACTTGAACTATTAAAGAGGTTAGAGATCCCTGTGAGTGATTTTCAGGTTGTATTGCCAGTAGGAATGCTGCTGTATATAAATCTATGCCAACACAGCTTGGTGGGGGCCTATGGGACCAACAGATTTGTCCCTCCTGTGAAATTTCTTACTATCAGGAAAGGGACATTTTTGCCCCGTTCTATTTCCCTCACAAAGTTACCAAAAAGGATTAGGTGTCAACTTCTGAAATGAACTTGGCTGAAACCATCTTTTGTCGTTGTGTTACCTTGACATTAGGATTATAATTTCATTTAAAAAATTATTTTACATTTTTAATCTTCCTTTATTGTTTTTATAAATAACTTAAGGAGAAAACCTAGCTAATAATTCTCCCTATTGCTATTTTCTCCATAACAACAATCCTGTGAGGTAGGTTGGTCTGAGAGAGTATGACTGGCCCAAAGTCACTTACCTGGCTTTCAGGGCTGGGACTAGAAGACAGTCTTCTGATTTTAGTCTGGTGTCTTAACCACTACACCAAACTGACTCTCTTAGATGTATGACACTCCATTTGTTTATATAATTACACTTTCCTAGATGATTATGCAAAAAACCCCTGATATTGTATTTATACATTTTGTAGAAAACTAAGAGATGAATTCCATTTCATGAGCTATAATAAAATACAACATAGACATGGATTCAGATATTGTCTTTCTGCTAATGGAATCTTCCCAACAAAGCACTTCTATCAAAATAGCTTCATTAAGCTGCTAGATGCAGTGTTTCTCAACCTTGACAATTTTAAGGCATGTGAAGTTGGCTGTGGAATTCTGGGAGTTGAAGTCCACATGCCTTAAAATTGTCAAGGTTGAGAAACATTGTGCTAGAGCATTACTGTGAGGATGGAACCCTTAAATATTTTTTATTGACAATACAGAATGAACAAGTTTGAAGCATGTGCCTGCACACATGCTTACACAGAGATATTATAGTTCCGATGTGTATAGAATCATGCATTTCCACAAAATCATATCTTGTATAAAATTATTTTAAATAGCATAGCAACACTATGCATAAATTGGAAAACTGCATTATTAGTATTATTACACTTATTTTTCATGATATGATGTTCATTTATCATTAGAAACATTTAAACATTATTATCAGTTCTTCACTATTTAAATGTTTATTCCATAAGCATTTTGCTATAAGCAATACCTCACACAATGTTTTTCAGGGAAAAATAATGACTGACATAGAATGGTTTGACAAATTTAATTTTACTTTATATTTTGAGATTAAAAAAAACATTTTATGATAGCATGTCTGTAAATGCCTCCTGATATTACAGTGGAACTGAGCAAGGATTGCTTAAAAATGGCTAATGTTGTACTATCCCGCCAAAATATCTCTACATCTTCTTTTACTTTAATCCAATTATAATTATGTAGTGTCTGCCTTCTTGGAAAAAATAATAATAAAGGCCTTGAGGCTGTTCACTGAATTCTGTCACTACATATTTGTCTAAATATAAGGTCTGCAGAATTTCCAATATTGCTGCCTAAGCTTGAAAAGTTTATTTTTGCCCGTCATAACCAACTTTTCATTATACAGTAACTCATTGGATGAAATTACAAATCCCTTTTTATTATGAAATCCACATTGATATTATGAAAATTGGGGTGTGGTTGAGATATGACCAAAAGAAACTTAACTTTGTCCAAAATCAAGAAAATGACTTAATATCTGTTTATATATTTCTCATACGCTGTTGTTTAAAACAGAATACTGTAAGTTGCTGGATGTAATGTGTAATGATTTGAAGTGTATACTTTTTCTTTGTGTATGTTACTTTTTGAGAGTATAGTGTTGAAATATACACTGTAATAGTATTATATGAAATAATATATTCATATTATTATATTGTAATTATTTATGCTTTGTTTATTTAGTTGCTTGCTTATTGTATACAGTAATGCCCAGAGTTGTAGTTATTTGAGTTGATAGCCAACTCACTTGTTAAGTTGGGCTGCTATAATAAATAAATAAATAAATAAATAGTATTTCTCTCCTATTATTTAGTTCATGACTGGGAAAAATTCACCTAGCTTCCTGAATAATAGATCATCTAAACTTTCCAAAACATATCTGATTCATCTACATTTTATGCAAATTTTATCAACTGTAAGTAAACAAGATGTAAGACAATTCGAGTGTATTTTAGGGCAGGGGTCCCCAACCCCCGGGCCATGGACTGGTACCAATCCGAGGCAAGGCAGCAACCGGGCTGCACAAACAAGCAAAGCCCTATCTGAGGGATGCAGGTAGCACACAAAACCACGCCCCCTCCAGTTGGCGGAAAAACCTCTCTCCATGTAACCAGTCCCTTGTACCCAAAAGGTTGGGGACCTCTGTTTTAGGGAATACAAATTCATATTTTGGAGGGAGATAAATTAGGAGGACTATGCAGCAGCTTTCATTACAAAAATGGCTTTGGACTATGGAGAGATCAAGATTGCAACTCAAACAGATGAGATTTTTCTTGGGACTGCAATTCTTGAAAAAGATGGGATTGTTTTAAAGAGTTGCAGATAGGTGCTATGTTTGCACACAGAACATACTAAAGGAACTTTTAGAATTAAATCCAAAGCATTATACTGTAGAATGTTACAATTCTATTAACATTTGAAGAATATGATATTTTTCATTAAGTTTCCTAAATGACATAAGGGAACTGTCACCATCAGTAAATAAGAATTTTAAAGAACACCGAAATTCTTCAAAAGTAGATTTGTTCCTCCACATGTTGGTGCATATTATTGCATTTTCATATAGAGTTTATCTGTTGTAAATAGATGAATAGGAATCCATAGATTATTTCCTATGCCACAAATAACAGATATTTAATCTCAAATTTTAACATTTTTTAAAAAAAGACATCAGATTATTAGCACTATGTTATGCCTTCACATTTGTCATGAAAATAAAATAGCGTTCTACTACCAGAAAGACTAATTTATACAAAATTGTTAAAAGTAGGACTTATCACATTTTCTTCAAACATGCATCTTCTTCAAAGACTAGTACACTCATTGAGCTATGACTAAATTCATAGTATTCTACTTTGGAGGGAGGGATCATCCAAGAAATCTTCATGAGATTCTTTGAGTTCTCCAGGCCTTGCTTCACGGAATTCACTCCGAAGAGAAATTTTCCACCACCTGAAAATCACCTATGAATGGAGAATAGTGAGCAGTATTTAGAGAAATTATTTAGATAGCTGGTATAGTGATTAAGGAGATGGATTAGAAATGGGGATGCTCAGATTAATCAAAGATGACTTGGGGCTAGTCACTTCTCTGTCCTAATCAGCATCAGGCTTTATGGCAAGCTTACTGAACATTTCCTGCTCCACTGTTATCATGTATTGATAAGCTTCACTGCAAAAACAAGGCAAACCTATGAAAGAAGCAGACCCTGCACATTGAGACATTCAGAACATTAATATTTATATAAAATAATTCAGGATGGATATTAATAAATATATTGGAATGTAAAATCTCTAACTGGCTTCCTTCTGAGAAAGCACATAACTTCTTTACTAGTAATCGTAGATGATCTTGCAGAAATCCATTTAACACTGGTTCGTTTATTAATGATTTACTCAGTCCAATTTTGCAGATTCACACAATACAGTAAACTACAAAATAACCACGGATTTACATTGAGCCAAAATATGATTGGGTAATTTGTGATCCAGTCACAGAAATATAACACAGGATTAATTTAGCCATGGTGGTGCCTGCACCAAAAAAGAGAACACTTCATATAACTTGTTTTCCTTTGCAGTTGAATCTACTGGTCTTGTCAGGCATCAGATTTTATGGTTCGGAGATGCTGTTTCAAAGATAAATGGACTTGTCAGTAAAAAAAGTTTATGTGCAATGTTATTATTATGTTAGGATGAATACCTGGGAGGCCCAGATTCCACAGCTATTTGATACATGTTGTGGACCTGGGATTGTCCAATTTTAATTTGTTTTTGTGTCTTTATTCACACATCCATTTAAAAAAAACAACACTGGGAATACAAGTGCCGCAAATGCCTTTTCTAAGCCTCCTCTACTCCCCTGAAGCAGCCTGTGCTCCTCTATGCTTGGATTTTGTCTCCCTCTTGTCTCCATTTATGCACCCTACTGAAAGAGTTCAGCTTTTCTCCTGCACAAAAGGGAATTTATTTGGTAGAATTCAAGAGCAGAGCCTCTGTGCATGGAAGGGAACATACAGCATATAAGAAAGTATATACTTTCTTAACAATCCAAATATATTCCTAAGCTAAAAAACATGGAACAGCTTTGTTACAACAAAGCAATTTCCAATTCCCACAAATGATTTTTCTTTGCTCCTTTGCTATTCTTTTCCCAGGAAATGAAGTAAGAATCTAATTGTCTCTCATTACTGCACTACCTAGTCTCAGGAAAGTACTTTCAACAGAAAATCTGTGAATAGTTTGCCAGTGCCAGATTTTGGTACAACAGGAACTAAGAGACCTAAACCTTAGCATGTTATGAAATATAGTACTGACTACATACACATTGCCTCGCTGATTCTTACAGAGGAAATAAGCATTTTTCCATGAAACTGTACATAATGACTGCAAGGTGAATTGCAATTTCACTCTTTACTTCCTCTTCTATGCTTTCAAAACAGGGCAGTTTTGAGAAACAGGAAGAGGAGTTACTTGGCTTGTATTGAATAGAATTTTTCACATCTATAATTGTAACTAATTAAAAAAGAGAGTGACAGAAGAACTGTTTTTGATGAAATAAAAAGAAAATCTTAATTTATTATATAGTTATCCACCGCAAAAACAAACAACAAAATATAGGCAGACCTTTCTGGATATAAAGTTTGAGAAACTATCTGATTATTCAGATACATGCAATTAAATGTATAAATACAACATTAATCAATTTGCCATACTTAATACTAGTAAGGTTTTTAAAATCTTAGCATGAATAGCTGTATCATATACACGCTGATATGAAATTATTTTTTCTATTATCATTATTCCTTTTATAAGGAATATTCCCTTCCTATTCTGATTTACATAAATATACTCATTAAAGTAATTGCTGAAAATCCAGAGATTTCCCCCCCCAATATTTCTTGGAAAAGACATAGAAATGCTTAAAACATTAGTTTTTGCAAAACGTTTTTGAGGCATGTGAAGTTTAAAGTAAACATTTATATTAGGAAGCTTTGAATCTTTTAGAAGATGATCCTTCTTAGAAGAATGTTTTTAAAGAAAAAATAATAATTTAATTCAAATATCTTAAAAAGATATGTACTACACCTAAGTGGATTTACTTGGGAATCTTAAATCATCATAAGATTCAGCATTTAATGGGAACCCAACAATGTTTAAACTAACCATTGATTAGTGTCATTTGTGAACCTAGCCAGAGTGTAAAATTGTGAAATAAAAGTACATTGGTCCAATAAAATCTGGCCAATCACTTATGATATTCTTATTAAAAATGATGGATACATGCTCAAAATCATATCAGGGAAACTGTTTGGCTTTTTTCTTCCATTTTAGCTTGACTTGGAATTTGCATGTGAGTTGTTTATGATCTGTTCCACAGTCAGCCCTAGCTAGTCTTTGCTGTTATAATTAAGCTCTTCCACTTCCTTATGCTAATAATATAGTCAGTTTTATTTCTGTGTACACCATATACATATCTATATATAGGTATTGATATGATTGTTGGAATATAGTGTAAGTAATTAAGAAGTGACAGTATTGGCAGAAATTGATAAGTTGAACTCTTGCTTCATTTCAGTTTCTTAGGCCATACAGTTTAATTATATTTTTCTTTGTAATATTTCCAACGTTGGTACTCCAGTCTCCAAATACAAGCAGCACATCTTGCTTACATATTTTGTCAACTTCAGATTAACCCCCTCTTCTGCATCAGTAGTTGCACTATAAACTTGAATAAGCATCATAATAAACGGTTGCCTGTGAAGTATAATTGATACTATTCAATCATTGATTGCATTGTTCCCAAGTACAGTCTTTGTTTTAGCTTTCCTGGCTATGAAAGAAACTCTGGTTCCTCTTTGTTTTTCATATTTCTAATAATAAACAGAATCACCTTTTGATTGAAAATTTCCAATTCCAGTCAATTTTGACGCAATGATGCCAGAAAGGTCAATGTATAGTCAATTCATTTTGTCTTTCACTGTATGGATTCTCTCATGTATATGCATCTCATATTTATTTCCTATTGTAATTTGTCTTTGCAGCTTCAGATTTTCCTTTCTTGTATGGCAACCTCAGCAACTAAATATCTAAAAGGTTTTAATCTAGCCATTTTTTAAACATCACCAATATCCCAAAAGATACTCAGCTCTTCCTCAATAACATGTTGAGTGCCATCAGACTTAAGAGGCCAATCAACCATTATTATATTATCAATTTTATATTGTCTATTCATTGTTAAATATAGGAGTGGTTTGCCACTGCCATCTCTTCCATGGTATGAAAAGATGCCTTTGCTGTTGCCATTAAAGTAATTTTCTGCTTCCAGTATCTTGCTATGTTGCTGATGTCCCATAAAAATGCCTGTCCACTTTAGCTAAACAGCTGTGCTGGAATTATATAATCATGATGTACACTCCTGCCATTCTTGCTCACCTCTCCTAGAAACATTCTGTCATCTCATTGAAGTAGGAGAGAAGGATTTGAGGGGGCATGTCTTCTATTAGGAAATCATTAAGATATGATCCAGTGTTGAATTACTTTTTAAGCAATTTTATTGTTTTTTTAAAGTGACAATTCAGTTACCAGAAAAAAAAAACCCTTATTACATTTACTTAAAAGCAACTGTAAGGAACTACAATTGTGACAGCTGCAGTAGCTTAATTGAAATCTGGAAATTTTACCTTAATCATTTGGTTTTTGAATCCTTGCCCTAATTTATCTGCTTAAACATTCAGCTCAGGTTCTTGCATTTACTACATACTGATCTTTTCTACGTATTTCAGATATTTTAGATTGTACCAGCTATAATCCCTTGCTACTAATTGGGCTGTTTGAGTATGGGAATAAAATCCAAAACAGATGGAGGATATAACACTAATTTGTTTAGCACATAGTTTCTAAAACACTAGTACTGAAAAATATTTATTTAGGAATAAGAAATATAAAACACACTGCTCTTTCAAAGAATCTTACTTTCATGTAATGTTGTAGAAGTGTAAAAGGTAAAGTGTTTATAATAAACATTTTTCAAAATTGTGTAATTATTGCCTATCTTTCTCTAGCTAGCTGTTCTTGAACAAGGGTATTCAATTTTTTGAACTATTTTTCTTGTTCACATAATAGGGAATGAATGTAAAAAACAGGAATTTTATTTAACAGTAAAATGAGAGAGTTATACATGTCAGTTTCTGCCTCTCTTCTATTCGGAGGCATACAAATTATTATGAATCAAACATGAATATAAATCTAATTATAAAGGACTAAATTAGAAGGTTTATTATGGCTTTAACTATTGAACATATATATACCTGTTATTTGAGGCAAATAAGCATCAGAAATTAGGGCAAATTTAAAGAAATGATTGCTTTCCAAATATTACTATCACTTTCAGAATGTCAGACAATGGCCATGCCGACTAGGATTTAGAAGTGATGTAGTTTATGCCTATCTCAGTATTAGGAGCTGAGGGCCCCATCCGCGAAAATCATCTTGTAACTACATCTGGACAATTTTTTTTTTTAGCCAAAGCTAGCATTAGCACTGCAGTCCATCCTTATTAATGGACTTACATTCCAGCCCTGAATTAGGAACTGTTCGTAAAAACATGAGCACTCGGCGAATTTCTCTCCCCCCTGCCCCCGCTTTCCTTCATTTATTTTGCCTGCAATGAACGTATCTTCATAAAGGTAATTAACACTCCTTTCCTTTCGTCGGGGTATCGTGCACTATTCTTTCTTTCTCAATACTTAGTCACTCTCCAATAGAAATTCCAAAAACAAATCTCTGAAGGACGACAAAAGGGAGAAAAAACAAATATACTCACATCCTTCCTAGTAACGGTGATTTGGTAGAAGTCTTTGCTAGGTGCCGGGGCTTGTCCGCGCGTCTCGAACAAAGTATCGTCCAGGAGGGACGCCATTTTAGGACGCCAACTCCCAGTCGCTCTGGCAACCAGGAAGGGGCGGGCGAATGGAAGGTCACTGGAAGCCCAGCCCCCTCTCTTAAAGGAGACGATCAGTTTTTAGTGTTAGAAGTCACGGAGGTTTTATCACCCCAAGGAAGGAAAGAGGAGCCTCGGAATCGCCACAGTTGATGGGGAAACACCGTATGAGAGCGACTGGAGCGATCTCGCTGACCCTGAAGCAATAACGCTTGCACGTACCCCGGAGGTGACGACCCCAGCGGAGGGATACCTCTTTTTCAGCCAAGGAACGTCTGAGACAAGCGGAGGGGGACAGGAAGGATAGAACTGCTGCCGATCTTTAAAGAGAAGGAGGGGGGCTGCCGGCTCCGCGGCAGGGAGCGCTGAAGCAGGGAGAACACCCGCTGCTGTGAGGGGGGAAGACGGGGGCCCTCGGCCCCCTTTGGGGGTGAAGTAGTCCCCGGCCTCCCCCTACGCCGCTGGAGGGGTACGGTAGCGGAGGCAGACGGCGCACTGATCGGTGCTGCGGCTTCAGCTGATAATTGAAGGGAAGAGGCGCCGGGCAGGACAGAAAAGGAGCCAGGGCTACCGGGGAGGCACGGAGTGCTTTTGCGGAGGCCGCGTCGGGACAAACTAGGTACTGTGCGAAGGAGGGAGGAGTGGGGAGAAGACAACACGGGCGAGGGCGACTTATTTTTCTAGGTGACGCTTTTTATGGGAGTAGAAGGTCCCTCCTTTTCCTTCGTTTCCCTGCCTGCTTTTTACTGAGGGCCGAAGTGGGGGATGGGTGGCAGGAAGGGCCTGGTTTGCAGAGCTTGACAGAGGAGGAGGCTTGGGGCGAGGGAGTCCTGGGCCGGGGAGGGGAAGACGGGCAGAGGGGGAGTTGGCTGTCTCATGGGTCGAGGCCTTTCGGAGGTATGAGGAAGTGATCGCCCGGAAAGAAGGTGCTTTTTATACTGAGGTGGGGAAAACTCCCAGGGTCAAGGGGTTCCCCCAAAGCGAAGAAGTGACGAAAGGGAAGCCAGGGTGGCAGAAATGGAGCTGCTAAAATGGCCAAGCGGTAGAGTGAAGCTTATCGTGATTCAGCCGTTCCCTTTCTTTCTTTTCCTGTCTTTCTTCTGCTAGCTTTGATGTATTAAAGGGGTGAATTTGAAGGCCCCTGTTCCAACAGTACCGAAAACTGACTCGGGCTCTTTTCTGCGGTTTGGGTCTATCCTAACCCCTTTGCCTACTTTGCTCTCCCCCCTCAGTAAAGATTGTCTTTATGGTTTTGTGTGGCTGTTAGATACAAAAGGACAGCTTTAATGTTTATCCTGAATCCGATTTGCATTTCGCTGTGCCTCTTTTCTCCTCAGGCTAATCACTATTCTCCCTCCTCCCCCCCCCCCGCTTCTCTCTTATTTATTTTTTCTTGGATGCTGTTATTGAGCCCCCTTGAATACACTTAGGAGAAACAAGGGGAAAAACAACCCTTCCCAACCAGACGATAACACTTCCTTGTTTAAAAAATAAAAAAGCTAAATTATCAGTTGATATAATGCTGACCTGGATTGTTGGGGCCGAAAACAGGGGAAATCATATTGTGTAGTTGTGGGGTGGGGGAAAATGATCGTTAATAGATTCCCTTAGGTGTTGAATCCTAATACTGGAGCAGATTGTTTTCACCCTGTAATTTTAGAGCTGGTTTGTGTTACTGGTATATTCGAGAAGAAACTAGCCTACCTTGTGGTTTGTTTGCATAACGCGTCGTATTTAGATATTCACATTCTTCTCCCCCTTCCTGCCCGCCGAACAACTTGAGCTTCTGCCGACTAGTACCGGGCTAACATTCAAACTGATCTCGAGGCGTTTGCCAGCCTTGCAGGCCGGGCTGCCTGCTGTACAACTTTTATTGTTCCTTTCTCCTAATGGGCAGCCTTGTCGCGGTGGGGGTGTTCTTCCTAGTGGGTTTAAAAGACATCAGGAATTTGAAAAAGTTTACATTAGGAACAAGAAAACATTAAGGCGGGGAGAGTGGAAAGTTTTGTCAAGAGCTTTACGAAAGAAACATCGATGTATGGAACAAAGGTTCTGTCTGTATTACAGAGGCCTACATAACTAGGCCTGACTATGTCGCATTTACCGAGAAAAGAAATGAGAGCTTGGCATTGGATACAGTAAATGTGTTCACTGTCTGGAACACATTTCAGAAATATTTCTAGAATTCGTTAGACTTAATTTCAGGATTGCTTTGTCAGTATAGCCCTGATCTAATAATTTCACGGAGAATTCCTTACTTTTAAGCTTTGCATTAGCCCAGTTAATTAATCTAAGCATTGAATTGATACAGCTTTAAAGCCACATCCCATTACTTTTTTGACCAAGTCATTTCCCTATTTTACAATGACTTTATTACAAGAGTTGGTATTAGATCTGTGAAAGATTATGAAAGAATTTGTTGTTTGTTTTGTCTGATCCTATATTCCATAAATAAGGTCTTCACCAACTGATGACATGTTTACAGTCTGCCTGTATGTTAACAGAAATGTGAAGGAGGTGAAGTTTTATTGTCCAGCAAAATCAAATTTCAAAACTTTTGAAGTTTTAAATGTTAACTATTAAGTTTTCATAAATTGCATTCAATATATCAATATAAGTTTCTATTCAAGTTTATTAATAACTTGATATTAATTGATGTCATTCTTACTGAACACTGATTAGGGTTGGAATTTTATGTATTTGAGAATATGCTGTATTAAAACTGAATTAGGTTTGGGCTGTAACTTCTCTTTCATAAAAGTTTTAAAATCATAAACCCACTTGCATCAAATAGTTTAAAGAAAAGCATTAGAAGTTTAAAAGATAAAAGGGAGTGTATGTTTGAAGCATTAAAAGGTGGTCTTTATCCTAACCACTTAGTATACAATAGCCTTGTACTCACAGGTGCTGTTTTACTATTAGTTACGTTTGAAAATTTCCTGTACTTTTTTGGAGAGAGGGGGATGTTCCATGCTGACATTCTTATTCTTTTCCTCTATATTGTTGACAGATAAACACATTGGATAGAGGCTACACTGAATAAGAATAGTACCTAGGCAAAAGGCTATACTTCTGTTGACTGGCTGGCTCTTCCCAATTATAGGAACTGCATTTACGATCAAATAAGAAATATAAAAATAGTTTCAGTAAATGTATGATATCAGCAAAGCATTGGGAATGCTGATGTGGTCGAAAAGATGGAGATAAGAAAGGTAAAGCCTAATAGAAACAGTGTTAGATACAGGATAGTTGAAAAGTATAAAGGATTAGTAACATTTTGTTACACTTGTAGTGAATTGTGTGTGTATTTTTAGTATTAAATGGATTTAGTATAGTAGATTCTGATTTTGGATATATGGAAATATTTTGGAGGCTTTGTTATCTTGCTTTATGGATATGATGTTGGCACCTAAGAACTGAAAATACTTTTCAGTTGAGAATATTTATCTGCTTTATGCTTTGTACTGTTTAAAAGACATGTCTGAGAACACCAGATTGTGTCAGGGGAAAAAAAGACAGTGTAAACAGGTTACTTATATACATATGTAATTTCTCTTTTTCTTTATACTTGAAATAATAGAATACTCTGAAACTTCCACTAAGGCCCTTGCGTTCAAAAATATAAATGAAAAGATCATTCTCATAAACAAAACCTCCTGTTTCTTCAGTTAACCGAAGGTATTTAGCATAGCATTCAACTGATTTGAAGATACCTGACTGAAAGAATTATTAAAATGGAGATGCTGAAATTTTTTAATGAATAATGTAAAGTTATGGGCACTTAAGATGTAAGAACATCCTACATAATACAAAAACTTAATAGCATCCTGAGATTGTATTTGCCTGCATTACAATATTTTCAACTTTATTTAAAGTTTTAGCTATATTGTACGCAATGTATTCTTTTCCTGGTCAGGTAAACTTATCATTTCTGCTTCCTGTGAAATTTTCATACAATAATTCTGTGAATGAAATGGTTGATTTTAGTAATATTAGACACTTTGAGGTGTTCTTTCCAAACTATTGCTGCCAGGTATCTTTATTTCTTTTATTCCTGTTTTTGCAGTAAAAACAACAACTCCCAAACAGTTGTATAGTAGACATGTCTCAGCTGGATTTCCTTGAGCTGGTGGCTTTTATATGTGTTGGGACTTTAGTTCCCAGAATCAGCCTAGAAATTGTTGGTTAGAAATTCTGGGGCTGCAGTCCCAACACACATGGAATATGTGAAATTGGAGAAAGTTTGCCTAAGTCATAGACTTAATTTAAAACTTCTTCAGTATTATTAATATATGCAGATAGCCATATATTTAAATAAATTATTTATATTAATAGATCTAAATCTCTCATATCTTAATATTAAATCTTACAATCACTCAAAGAATATGGGTTCCCCTAGCCGAGGCTCATGTTTCACAAATAGATTTATTTATGCATGCGTGCATACATTCTCTTATCAATTTTGAATCTTAACTACATAAAATTTGAAATTGTGTTTCTAAAATAGTTTAGAAGCCACAACTATAAGTTTGAGTGAGAATTAATAGAACAGTATCTGCTACTTTAGCATCTTCTAATTGAATTCAAATAATATATTAAAACACCAAGAGTAAAATATCTAGCTAATTTTATCTGATTTCAGAAAATTAAGCTGTATTAGATCAGGTTAATATTTTGTTGGGAGGCTACTAGGAAATAGAGCTTGAGAAGTTAAAAAAATATCCCAGAAGAGGGCAGTGGCAAATAACTTCCATATTGTTTCCAAGAAAATTACACATGATTTGTTCATGAATTACCAGGAATTCAGTTCTAAATTTTCTAATTGAAGTATTTTGCCTTTATAAGAGCAACATTTCCAAAGGCTGCTTCAGTCCTAGGCTCTAGGTCATGTTTCTCAACCTTGGCAACATTGCTTGCTGGAGAATTTTGGGAGTTGAAGTCCACACATCGTAAAGTTGCCAAGGTTGAGAAACAATGCTTTCTAGGAAATAGTTTGATATGCTGGGTTCCTAT